TGAACCCAGTGTGTCCATCGTTTTGCTGTACTCCACCTTGACAGTTAGATCAACAAATAAGCATCATCAAGTCTAATTCAACAGAATATCATCGCAATGAGAACGTGATTTTGCATTAAAATCTAAAGCATTCAGTTTCTTTTGTATTTATGTTATCTTCTTCATTTAAGAAAACTGGTTCCTGTTGTTGTTGTTGTTGTTATTGTTTTAGATGTTGATGAGATGATTTTGTTTATATTGATTTTTATAGTGCCAATTTCTAACTCCTTCCTGTCTTTCTTTGTTTACTTGTCTTGTCACTAATTTCTTTTTATATGAGGTTACTCCCCTCACTTTACTTCATTTCTCTCTAAGGTTAATTCATTTCTGCTATATTGACTAAACTCGTTATATATATATCATAAATTTATGCCAACGGTACGAACTTATTTATTATTATCGGATTTTGTTCAACCTCCCCACATTGATGGAATCTAGTAATTATGGTGATATTTTGCATTCATTTAACAAATAAATTGAAAAGTCATTCAGTTAAGAATGCATCTTTTTGAAATATACACGTAATGCGCATGTATTTGTGCTTGCCTGTCCCGACAAGCATCTCTCTAATGAGAAGTAAACATATAAAGACACCGTCAAGTCGTAAACCTTTTCATGTATGTATGTGTGTGTCTCGGCTTAGAGTGTGAACTGTGGATTTGTATATATGTGTATACAAAGTGTCCAACACTTTAACCAACTGACTAATCGAGTCAACACTACGTTTATTTATCAAAATGTAAAGAATGTGTAATGTGTTCTTCTCTAGACAAATAAAGATAGCGGGTGAAACCATCTTTGGTGAATTTAACTTGATTAGGTGTATACAATAAGTGAAGAGTCATTCAACAGCCGTAAAATTGTAAGCGTTTACGTGTGTGACACGGATTCAAATATCAAATTTTTTGTTATTTGTCTGCTGTCGTGGCTAACCCGATGCAGGTTTCATCATCCTATTTGGTGGATATACCTACAACCCCAGTCTTCTCACAACAGAAATGTAGGCTTGTGGTCACTGAGCTCATATGTTGAAATGACGCAGATCAATTCAGTTCAGATACGTCAACAGGTTAATGGGTAGCACTGATTCAGGCGGTTTCAAATCTCTGAGAGGACATCATTTCTCTTGAGGCTACAGATACGTCTTGCTAATGAATGCCAACAAGCACGATATCTAGATCAGCGTCTTTTTACTGATAGCCTTCAACCAAATAGTGTAGTATCTACTGTAACGTAGCCAGTTCTATCTACTGTTGTTTGCTTTAAACTAATTACTTTTCCTACTAATTATTAATATTGAAAGGGATTAAATTGAGGTCAAATACAAGTTTCTACCGACTAATAACTCTTTAAACGTCTAATGGTGATTACTTTCATATTTCAGGCCTAGAATGAATTAGTAGTCCATTATTCGAATTACTGGACTTCGTTTTTCTTTTCTTCCGTCTACTTTTGCTTCATTTAGTAATATTTTCCGTTAATGAATATGTTTTCCATCTGTAAAGAAATTCTAGAAACTGAGTAATTTTTTTTTTTGATTTTTCACTGAATAACACTGTCCCTCCTTTCCTACCGCTACTGTCTCATTATCCTAATGTGGAGACAAGAAGTTTAACAAAATAATAATAATGATGATAATAATGGGCAACCTAAAGAATAGTGACCACATGGAGCAAATCTTTCAGCGACCCGAACGTGTCCTATTCGTTGGATTACACAACCTGCCGTTGATACAGTTCCAGTATGAACGGTGTGCAAGAAATTTATGCACAAATTTCATTCCGATTTCGTTTTAAGTACTGTGCGGTCAATGGGTTGATAACACGTTAGGGTTATAGTGTTTTATTACTGTATATATCTTTCTTGTAAGTAAGAATGTGGTAGGAGAGTATTCCGTTGTTCAAATGGATGAAACCGTTTTAATTGCTATGAAACATGAAAACTCATAGTCTTCATTGTAATTAAAAAGTATTTTTGAGTTTCTTTAGAGTAAAATATAGTCATTAATTTGTTTCACTAGAATTATGTTAATTTTTCTCGTGGATGAACGGCTTCTTGATGTAGAATTCTGTAATCCAACGAATGGTGTGCGTTCAAGGTCACTGGTGCGTTCGCACACCCTGGTCTTTATTTTTTCTATTCTCCATGATAAAAAAATAATAGTAGGTTCATGATTCGAGTATATGACAATATCATTAACTAGGAATGTGGATATGTCCACAGCCCGAATTGAAGAAAAAAAAAACATTTTGTTCTTCATCAGTAGCCACCACTGAACAAGTGTTAATTCATCGAATTCATAAAGTAATACATTCGATCTACAAATTTCATACTATGAGCTCCTGCTTCTTCTGTATTTTTTCTTTGCTTTATATTATCGATCAATATTAAGAGCTGAAAAAACAACACCAGTATCTAAAACAAGCAATAAAGGTTAATAAAGCAGGATTTAATGAATTCATCAAATTTCGGTAGAACTCGTCAGCTGAATGCTCTACATACACGGATATATATACTGTTGAAATTACATAGGGAGATATAAGACTGATAAGTAAACAAACTACATTGAATTAATCATGCAGAAAAACATTCGCACCTGTCTTTCTGCATGATTAATTCAATGTAGTTTGTTTACTTATCAGTCTTATATCTCCCTATGTAATTTCAACAGTATATATATCCGTGTATGTAGAGCATTCAGCTGACGAGTTCTACCGAAATTTGATGAATTCATTAAATCCTGCTTTATTAACCTTTATTGCTTGTTTTAAATTCGTATCCGGAAATAAATTTTTTCAACAGTGTCTAAGTTGGCTAATAGACTTGTTGTAACTAGAAGAGTTGATTATTCAGTTACAAATGTAAATTACTTCGATTCACTGAAGCTAAATAATATATCTGAACACATTAGAAGACACAAAATAATCGAGTAAAGAATATTCTTTTCGATAAATTCCTCTTCAGGCTCTACAATTATATACATGTTTATATACACAGAATATTCAAGGTTGGTAGTTAATAACAATCTTAGTGTTTTTTAAATAATATCGATTTGTAAAGTAAGATCACAATGGAATTACAGTTCACTAAAAATACTTAAATTATAATAGTAATAAAGATATAATAGCGAGTAGAATATCAACTAAAATTAGGAAATTTCCACAAAAATTGAGAATCATTCAAACCTAGATGGCCAAGGTAAGGACAGCGTCTGAACTAACTTCTTTTGGACGCACAAATTAGGCTTTTTAATGTGGATCCCAACATCCTCAGCAATATTTAGTAATCGAACTCTCAAGGCGAAGTTATTTACCGGATACCAACAAATCTCAACTTCGCCTTGAGAGTTCGATTACTAAATATTGCTGAGGCTGTTGGGATTCACATTAAAAAGCCTAATTTGTGCGTCCAAAAGAAGTTAGTTCAGACGCTGTCCTTACCTTGGCCATCTAGGTTTGAATGATTCTCAATTTTTGTGGAAATTTCCTAATTTTAGTTGATATTCTACTCGCTATTATATCTTTATTACTATTATAATTTAAGTATTTTTAGTGAACTGTAATTCCATTGTGATCTTACTTTACAAATCGATATTATTTAAAAAACACTAAGATTGTTATTAACTACCAACCTTGAATATTCTGTGTATATAAACATGTATATAATTGTAGAGCCTGAAGAGGAATTTATCGAAAAGAATATTCTTTGCTCGATTATTTTGTGTTTTATAGATATCTGAATGAATATTTTTGCTACACATTAGAAAACGCAAATACTGTTCATCATTTGTTGTTTTTAAAAGCAAACTAGTGTGAGAGTTGTGCGTCTTATTGATTGATAATGTTGGTCCGCAAAAGAAACTTCCTCTTTTTTTACATAGGTTTGTTAATTATTGGTGCATCATTCCTTCAGTGGTAGAAGACTCGCCAACCACGCCACAAGCGTGGTTCAGGGTTTGATCCCCGGCCGACGCCCACCTAAACATCGACTAGCTAGTAGTAAGCTCTGTGGAGAGGGAAGGCTGGGCGTAGGTCTGGTAACGGCATTCCGTAAAAAACCACTATTGCTACTGGAACTCTAAATTTCAAGCCTGAAGCCACATTTTTTACTCGGAACTCAAAGGAATAAATTCAAAACTGAACAAAAGTTATTATTTGGTGCATTGGCATGTATGAGAAATCAACTATTAACAGTCAAACTGTATTACTGGCAAATAAGCAATGGGTTATCTTTTATTGGTGATATTGTGACCAATGTCCAGTGTAAGAATTAACCAATCAGAGTTGGCCCACATAAGTGATCGATGTCCAGTCTGGAAACAAACCAATCAGAATCGGCCTCTGTGAAATAACGCCCACTATTTTATCGATCGTGATTATAAACTAATTGACTTGCCTTTGGTGATATATGTCATACTTTGTTGCCTAGAATAGACTTTTGGGTTCACGTCTTTGTGTGTTCTCGCTTGAATAATGCTGGCTGGGGAAACAGGTAGCTGTCATAAAACGTTTTTATGATAGCTTGATTCCACAGCGTATTTTTGGTACAAGTATGGCTTTTTCAACATGTGATATCTGCAGCTCAATTTTTGCAGGCCGAACAATCGATATCAGGTGTGCGAAGGCGGGGAATCGAACCCCGGACAATGTGCATGGTCGGTGAGCGTCCTAACCGCTGTGCCGTCCACTCAGTGTTCGTAATTCACTCATCTAAGTCCAGAGTCGGCATCCTTTTCCTAATCTTTTTCAATCTCAATGTATTGAGAATCGTAATAATTACTTCGATATATTGTCAATTTAATTATAATATCATATTTCTTTATTTACTTTTTTTAAATTTCTGCCTGTACGTTTTTGTTATCTACCTTATGTTGCTTTTAAAATATTTAATTCTATGTTGATTATTATTATCACCACTATTATTACATTACATTTCAAATATTTCTCCAACATAATTTCTAGTTTTGAAGCCTGATTCATCTATTCTATCATCAATCAATTCATCATGTTCGCCTAATATGATTACAACTGGTACAGATGAAACGTATATTGTTAACAGCTGTGACAATATTAAAACATATACAATAGTGAATGAGGATAAAAAGAGTTATTCACGTGTTTCTGAAACGGATTCCAGTGTTATTGATTGCTTCAAAGTACCAGAAAACAATTGTATGCATAATAACAAGACTAATAAAACTGCTGTTATTACAACTACTTCTACAACTGTGAGTACCAATATATCTACCTCTACAATGTTTAATACTGATTATGATGGAGAATCAAATTATCCTCAAACTGCATGGTTTATTATCTATGAAGGCCGTGAGAAAGAATTATTACTAGAAAATCTACTACCTGGATTCTTTTTGCAATTACGTGTACGTGCATGTTGTTCCTTGCTGACAAATAAAATAAATCCATCGTGTTCAGCATTTTCATCCTCGCCTGCATCATCTGCGTCATCATCAGCATCTTCGTCGTCGTCATCATCTGTATCGTCAGGGGCAGCATCTGTGTCTAATTTACACAATTATCCGAATGATATTTCTTTCGGTGTCAATAGTACTGCTGTCACTGCGGTTACAACCAGTACAAATGTTAATAGTAATGTTGGCATCGGAAGCAATGGTAGAAATAGTGAATTGTGGGGCTTAGCAAGTCATCCTCCATTAAAAATACGTATGCCACCTATCCCACCATCGGCACCATCTTCTGGTCCACGCGTTATTGGCAAGCCGAAACCAACTTCACTGCATTTATCTTGGTCACCACCGAAACAGACTGGAGGTGCAGCGATTTTAGCTTATGAGGTAAGACCAAGTACTTGTAAAATGGCGAAATATGTAGTCTTTTTTCTTTCATGTTAACATGTTTCTAAAAATATTTCACATAAAGATGTGCTTAAATGTTGAACTACTGTGGCTCAAATAACAGAGCGCTTCAAACTAATTTTCTTTTCTGGTATGTAAATGGGAATAGAGACTTCTTCGTACTTAAGATATAGTAATCAGTATATATTAGTATATTAAAATCAGTAGATCAAGGTGAAGATACTTTTCCCTTTCGATCCAGTATGGATTATATCAAAGACATAGTTATGCAATTAGGAGTATGATAAGATAAGCAACCCATATTCCTTTCATTTAAGATAAAAGACTGGTCATCCTTAATCCAGCCATTGATTGGAGTTTTGGTTGACTTTAAGAAATTTGTATCGTAGATTGAAGCCATTTGTATTTATTTTATTCCTTTATTTTTCCAGTGGGACATAGTACCCTAGCTTGAAGCTAGAGCTTCGAAGTTTCGTTAGCAGCGGGGTGGGGTTGCTAGTCGCATACTCAACCTTCCCTCTACACTGGTCTTATTACCGGCGTAGAGGGGTGAAAGAGTGCGTCAACCGGAAATAGAACCCGGAACCACCTGTGTGGCTAGCGTGCATTCTACCAATAAGCCAACGGCGCAGATTTAGGGCATAAAGAGAGTTATTTAAAACCAAATAACATTGGACAAGTTTTCCTTCCTGTCCTACTGTAGTGGTGTGATACAGACATTATATTATTCTCACATATTCCCACACTTCAATTCGACATCAGCAACAGAATACGATATATCTATTTGAACATAGTATTTGATGTTAGAAACAAAATACTTTTCCCATGGTTATATACTGCATTAACAAAAGAATGCTATGTGTATTTGAACATTCTATTTAACGTTGTTTGATGTAAACCGTAATTACACACTGAGTGATAGGTTGACGATTATAAACTGTAGATATATAAACAGCGTTTTGATTTGTGAAAAATATACCTTGGCTCCCGTGTCCTGCCTTCTGTTGTTACAATACTATAAGCTTATCGTACCGAATTCAACTGTTGAAATGTTCGCGTCACTACTATTATTATCTCTGTTATTACTCCATTCAAAAAGAAAGTTTTTGGTTGATTATTTATTTTTTATGTAATTTTATGCTCAGTTGAGTAAAGTCTAAAGAGGGTTTAAATGAATTCATAGTTTCAACGTAAAATTATTATTAATAGGACTGGAATCAGCGGAATATTTAAATTAACCAACTAACAGAAATAAACTTTTGTTAACTTAAGGGTCCGGTAGACCCACCTAAACTAAATAATCTAATTTACCGAATACTGTGTAATGACTGTAAGGTCAATTACATAGATCGGAGTAGTAGGTCAGAGTCAGTTATATTATCAAAATATTAGAATTTAGCTAGATCTAGAATGATTAACCCTAACAAATCAACTTCCCACTTCACTTATTTGGGAAGTTGTATCAGCACCAACGGACTGATTGGCGACGAAATCTCAACATGGATCCAAAAATCTCGAGCTGCTTTCGCTGACTTACACCATCTCTGGCGTAGGTGTGACATTTGGCTATCAACCAAGGGATGTGTGTACTGCTCATCAGTTCGCTCCACCCTTCTCCATGGCTCTGAAACATGGCCAATAGGAGTTGAAGACATGAAAAGGTTGACTGCTTTCGATCATAGATGTCTGCGATCTCTTTCTCACGTTAGGTGGTATAATAAGGTAAGTAATGTTGACGTTAGGCGTAGAGTGTTGAGCAAGCAAAGAGGGAAAATCAATCGACGAGGCTATAAAGTTACATAGATTGAGATGGCTAGGTTAGGTGGTGCGCATGCCTAACCATCGCCTCCCCCGACGGGCATTGCTAGCTGATATAGGTGCAGGTTGGAAAAGCGTAAGTGGTGGCCAAACAAAATCATGGCCTCATCAATCCATGAAATCCTTGACAGTTAAACTGAGTCAGGTAGGGAGATGCAGACTTCCGGGTTGGGGCCCTCGGGACTGACTCTAGGAATCAATGGCTGGAGACAATAGGTAACATGGCTCAAATCGTTGTCAATGGCGCAGATGTATTCAGTCTCTGTAATCTTTCATATTCCTTTCTACCATTACCCATTCTGTTTCGCTCTTATACCTGTCAAACTCTATTGATTCTCTTCACTCATCTTCTTGTCTACCTTTGTGTGCTATTTGGAACGTGGCAACTTGAACTGGTGTACTTCGGTGCCAAGTTCTATGTTGAATCCAGACAGACAGACACATCAACCAATCTCAAAAAAGCCCACCCATTGCAAGTAATTCACTTGCATGCAATCACTCAATGGTGTGTGATAGGGTTAAAGTATTAAACTGTGATATATTTAGGTGAAGAGAGAAGTTAACCACCGAATCTATGTTCATCAAATTAAAAACAAACACATACAATCGACATATTGCAACATTTGTCTCTGATGTATAAAAAACTACAATCAAAAATGACAGGGATTAAAGACTATGTAATAAGCAACCTGAGAAGTCGTTTGGTCACAGAGAAAGAACGCTTGTGAACGGTAAATTGTGTTCCTAAAACCGTCATCAAGTTATTAATAGTATATTATCTGTGTGTATTTTATCAAATAATTTCATGAAACGGAGGTAACTGTAATATTGTTGTCTGATTACTTCTGTTATCAATATTTATGCATTTTCAATAAAAGAGAATGGGAGGAAGGAATTATGAGGACAATGAATCTTATGTGTGTGTGTGTATGTGTGCGTTGGGGTTGGTGGTGTATTTGATGTCTGTATTTCCAGCATCAGCTTTGTGGACAGAAATTAGAAATAATTTCTATTGTTTAAACGAATTTCACTGTAAACTTTTACGCATACACATATACAGACGTTGATCAATCATGGGCATCGTAGATTGTAACAAAATTATCACTCTATTAAGTTCAATTTATAAACAGTTTTTCAACGGTTTTATGTATAATCTATGTTTAGAAACTGTCTAATATAATTCATGAGTGGGTGTATTTACCTACTGTGTTGGTGGCGGTGGTTACTTTGGCTGTTGCTGGTTTTGTCGATGTCCTTTTTCTTATTTTTTGAATTTTCTTTGTTTCCCTATCCATGAAACCGAGAGAAAGATTCTTTTAGGCATGACAAGCAGATATCAGTGTAGGCAGGATACAACACACACACACACGCATATATATGGAGGATGTTTAACCATAGCAGCATTACATGTCTATGCATTTATTGCAATACTGAGAGAGAAAGAGATGGGGAGAAGAGAAAGGGCCAATATGCCTTCTTAACCAATAATGGACAGTTCTTTTATTTCCTTTCATTTAAAATATTTCCAAATTACGAATTAAACAAATACTTTCGTATTGAGATTAGGAAAATCTGATTGACTTTCTATAGTTTGGTTTTGTAAGGATTAGTTATGTTTTACGGGTTGATCACGGATTCAATGGTTCTCTAACTGATATCAATCCGTGATCAACCCGTAGAACATAACTAATCCTTACAAAACCAAACTATAGAAAGTTAATCTGATGCTCGCTAGTGACTTGCTACAGGTTGGAGTTTCCTGAGTTCTAGTGAGAAGTCGTGACCAGTGAGGTCCAATTAGATGTCACGTGTGTGGATGGATGTCCCATCAACGACAATGGTTGGGGTCGCGCTAAATCACGAATTAGTAGAAGTTAGAATTCACGAGCCATTGAATCGGGTCCCAGTGGCTGAATGGTATACGAGCTTGCCTTGTAACCGGAAGGTCCCGGGTTCGAATCCCAGTGGGTGCGTTATCCCGATGATTCCCAAACTAGGATGAAACAGCAGCTGTCCAGTACTCCCTGGTTTTCAATGGTTCTCTAACTGATATCAATCCGTGATCAACCCGTAAAATCCGATTGATTTGGTAAAAACCAGAGTAGGAAAAATCTATTTCTCCTTAAGTGAGGACTCTTCCTTCGTATGGATCTATGCTGACGACGGTTATTTGGAAATCGGTTATCTTTTCACAAATGGCTGAATAACACATGTCACGCCAGTTGGGTCTACTTGGCCGGATGTGGTGACAAACCGACTGACAGTCGCGTTTAATTCGCGAATCGATAGAAGTTACAGTTCACAGGTTACTGAATTTCAAGCCAAATAACTAGACGATCTACCAGCTTGGCTTCGTAACATAAAGGTCTTAGGTTCTATCCCTGATGGGATCATCAGGGCGTACTGATGAGGAGACCCAAACTGGGACGAAAGAGGTGTCTAGTTCTTCCTCTTTTTCAGGGATATCAATCCGTGATCAAGCTTGAAAATACTTTACACCTATACACCTTGGAACATTATTGTCGTCAGTTGGAACTTCTGGAGAGTTGTGTATGTGAAGTGTATATAGATATCCCAAACAAGGAATAAACAGCTGTCATCTAGTGCACCGTTTGGAAGCCAATATCTTAAACTTATCATCAAAAAGTATAAAGTATTATTGAATTTGGATGTCCAGGAACTTCATGTTTTAAATTCTCTCTTCTTGTTGCTATTACCTTTATGCATATATTTGTCCTTTTTATTTTTAAACGGTTTTAAGGAGTTAGAAGTTCCGGTTTTCACTATTTCCCTTATGACATTGTTTCTTAATTTAGAAAAAGATAAATTCGACCTCTTTCGTCAAAAATCATACATTTATGGATATATATATATATATATATATGGAGAGAGAGAGAGAGAAAGGGTTGTTTCTCCTTCTCGATTGTGTCTACTGTGGTAATTGCCTTTTTGCCCGACTTAACTTATTCTGTTGAGACTAATATCGTTAATTATGCAAATGACCTAACAGTCTAACGACATTTGTTTCCCAATTAGACTGTTCTCAAATGAACACTTTTCCTAACTAAAATTAACCAGTGTTTTTTTCAGTCCAAAATCAATGATTCTAAATGTCAGACAGTTAAAATTAGTTTCAGGTATGAAAAAGAAAAGTTGAGATTAATTATTGCTTCAAGGTCAATCTGAAACTTCAAAGGGAATGCTGTTTCATTGCATTTTCTTTGAGGTTCCAGATATGCTGCTTTTCTAATAAGTACTGGTGTAAACACAAAGCTCAGGTTCAGAGTTTTACCACCAATAACCATCATTTAACCAGCAGTTAATGTCATCCACTCCACCGCCAAACTACATGAACTTAGTTGATAGGGAGGGTAGAAATGCTACGGCTGACTGACTGGTTTTCTTTAAAAAAAAACGAGTCAATAAACCATTGTGTGACTAAGGCTCATTACCTACTTCCATCCAGAGACACTAGTCAAGTAGTGTGAATATCATCTTTGGCATGTGAAGTGATTTTAAAAGCCTAATGGATACATTAAACTGAGTTTGATAGTAGTCAGGTATTGGTTTTTGTAGGTATTTTGTTTGAATGGTTGGAGGATTTCGTCATGAGCAGATATCAGTTAGAGAACACCATTGGAAAACCCAGCAGTACTGGACAACCGTTTCGTCCGCCTAGTTTGGGACTCTTCAGAAGTACGCACCCACCGCGGGGTTCGGAACAAGAACCTTCTGTGATACTATATTATTATTATTGTTTTTGGGGTGCAGTAACCTTTTCTTTTAAAAACTAATGCCAGCCTTCATCAGATATATTGACTTCCACGAACTTCGTTATCGATTTTTATTTCTTAGGTTTGGCAATTGATGCTGGAACCAACAAGTTGGGTTGATGAAGAATCAGAAGATAATGATTCAAATATATCAATACCAAGATATTGTTCATCTACGCCATCATCGTCACTAGAAACTTCTCTGTTACCTTTATCCTGTCATAATCTACAGTACTACTCTACTTACAATAAATATACAAGTCACTGTCATTCAAGCCATCGTCAGTCTATTCTACACAGATCGTATACAGATTCTTCATTGAATACGAAGTCTTATACATTGAATAATGATAATCCAGTGAAATTACAATCATTATTTAATGATGAGACAACGGCTGTTGGTGTTCATGGTCGATTTGTATGCTCTGTACGTGAAAATGAATGTCGATTGTTTGGTTTAATTCCAGGACAGAATTATGCCTTTCGTGTTAGAGCATATAATCGTGCTGGCAAAGGTCTCTGGACTGAATGGGTTTCTATATCAACTCCACCAAGTCTACCAGGTGTACCAACATCTCCTCCGAGACTATTACCGAAATCCTCACGTACGATACATATTGCATGGGATCCAGTTACCTGTATTAATGGTGCTAAAATATATGAATATCGACTTGAATGTCGTCAGTATCAATTATCTAAATTACATGATTATTATAATGTCACCTACATGCCAAGCATTGCAGCTGAAAAGAAAGGGATACTGAATCCTTCTTCTTCGTCATCTTCTCACGACAATTCATCAAGGAATGATACAATGGAACAGGCAGATGATGATTCATTCTTTCAACTGGTAAGAGAAAGAATGCGTTTTCTCCTTTTCTTTGTTTCTCTTATTTATATTTGTGGAATATACCCTACAAAATTTATGTACACACATGCTCAGGGATCTGTTATGCCAGGATCTGTTTTAGGATATTTCTGGCGACAGGCCTAATGAATATGAAGTCATAAGGTCCTTTTTCAGTGTAGTCATCTAACTTGTAAATGTTTTTCTTGATGAAACTCCTTTGAAAACCAATTGATTCGTCGCACACTTGACAATGTGGTCTATGGCTGATAGTCCGTTATCCAGAGAACCGCATTATAACTTGTGTTGCATACGCTAGTTGCAAGAAGTTGTAAGTAGTATATTCCATGACTTCTGGAAGAGTTTTGATTAGTAGGGAGAGACGGATTAAGTTGTGAGCCAGAGAAATGAAGTAAATTGTAAAGTAATATAGGAAACATGAAATGAATTTCAAAAGAAGTAGAACACGAATACTTTGTGCCAGTCGGAGTCTCGACGTAAGCCCATCGAGTTAGTTCTGTTACCAGATATCCCTGTGTTCGACCTTACACTTCTAGGTAGTACATTTTTCTATATATTAGTGCTTATTATTACTTGAGTGGGAACTTTGAGAAGTGTAATCGGTTTTTTATCAATATACGTTACAATGACGCGATAAACCTTTCCAGACCAGATTTTTAATGGGTAAACTGTTCGATGTATAACTGAAGTGAGATTGAATATGAATCTGAAATCTGGCTCAAGTGCTACTGCAAACAAAGTTCTCATTTTCTTAATATACTAAAATCTTTCCACTGCATGGCACACATCGATATGATGTGGTTATCAGTTACTTAGATTCAAAAGCTAACTAAATAAATGAGCAATAATTTGTGCTCGAAACGTCATCAGTTAATATTACTGCATAACACTGTGTGATTTATCAAAATAAAATCTTATCCATAATGGAGTTATACTCTACCACAGTGCCCAAGTTTTATACTTACATTAACAAATAAATGTCTCATCTTAGTAGTGTAGGTATTTCCAATAGTATGCGTTCACTGACTAGTTCAAGATCAAGTTGGTGTATGATTTATCATAAGAGTTACGGTGAAATTCAGCATTTCATCCAACATAATAGGATAAGTCCTCATATTCTTTTCATTTTTGCCTTCGTTCACACCTGATCACATCGTCGAAATAGAAAGAACTAAAGAACTATTTCACCTACTTCTTCAATATCAGCATTTCAAGGAAATGAAGGTACTGAAAACGGATATTTAAATAGAATATAATAAAATAATCTATTTATGTTCAAGTGAATACCTTCCTCTTCACCCTACCAAGTATCATATGCTTCTTTTTTTATATCCACTGAGAAGTTGACTCACTGGAAATATCCTCTCTTCATTACCTGATATTGACTGTTTCGATTCCTGGTGCCGTCATAGGTGAGCATTACTGAAGAATCCCAATTCAACTATCTAATGTTTCTCGGTTCTCAGTTTTGTCCAACCGATGTTGATTCGTGACAAAATCTGGCCAAGAATAAGCACATGAGTACACATGTGTCAGTAAAATTATTAATCAAATTTTCATGAAAAGGCTTAATGAAACTCTACACATAGACACAAATGAAAATCTTTGGATCCTTAAAAGTTTCTACACTGGTGACTAATGCCTTTAAATGTTAACATTTTATTAAATGTCATTGAAATAGATATTTGGTTATCCTTTCAAAAACATTTTCTACCTATTCTGTATAGATATATGCTGGTTCAAAGTTATCATTTGAACTGACAGATTTACAACCAGCTACGTTGTTTGCATTCCGTTTCTGTGCTGTGAATTCTGCTGGTGCTGGACCATGGAGTTCAATAGCTAAGTGTTGGACACCATCTGCTCCACCTGATCAACCTCATGGCTTATGTGTTCGTGAAATAAATTATAATTCAGCTTTAATTATATGGTGTATACCTCAGTGTAACGGTAGTCCTATTACAAGTAAGTTTTTTCAGTGTCTTTCTTAATTCAACCCATTTTACTGACATCCAGTATGATAATGTAAAATAAAATCCAGAGTCTAACTAGCATTTTCTAATATTTTAATAACGAAATTCCAAGTAAAATAAGACTGATATTTCCATGTCGAAATAGTGGAGGATATTTTTTACCTCAGGTTGATGTTTTTGGTTGTAATGTTGTATTCGCTGAGTTTGATAGTTTAACTGAGAAGCTTTCACTGTCTTTCTAGACAACATTTTGGCGCTAATTTCAGTGAAAGATTCACATCCAACTCAGGCAACTTAAGAGGGTCAAAAATATTTCCATTTAGTTGGTATCCGCCAGAAATCATTGAGAGATCCATTAAACAATAAGAAAAAAAGAAGTTTTAGGTTTGATCGCGGATCGATATCAGTTAGAGAACCAATAAAAGCCAGGTATCACCGGACAGCTCTTTCGTCCTAGTTTGGGACTCCTCGGCAGTACGTGCCCATTGGAGTTCCAACACAAGACCTTCAGGTTACAAAGAAGACTCTCAGACCTGGAGTTCTAGTATGAACTTGTGACCAGTAGAGTCCATCAGGTCGAGTGTGAGGATAACTACTTACTGGCGGTCGCGCTAAAATCGCGAATTCGTAGGAGTTGGAATTCATAATCCATTGAAACAGGCCGCAGTGGCTGAATGGTCTACGATCTGGTCTTGTAACCGGAAGGTCTTGGGTTCAGACCTTGACGATGAGTCAAGGACAGGTCCCAAACTAGGACTAAACAACTGTCCAGGTCACTCTTCTGGTATCAATCCGTGGTCAAACTTGCAACAAATCAAATCCCTAAAAACTAACTCCTGGAAAAAAGAAATAATAATTTAATATCTCACTGCAATCTTATTAAAAAAGGACTCATCATAAATTCCACATACGTCTCTTAGTGATGGAAATTCTGACCTTCTGTTACCTCAAGATTTTTGTCAGCAAAGTTGTTTAATTTATCAATTATCATCTTGTAGCATTGTGATTTTAATTACTTGAGTAATAGAAGTTCGGTGGTGTTAGCTAGGGGTATCAGCGTACAGGACGCCATCAAGATAAGAAATTCATCCGTTTTTGAGCTCATCTATTGACAAAGAACTAAAAACGGCTATGTAAAAAGATTAGGTGAGAAGAGAGTAGATGATCACTTATTGAATCTTTGTGCATCAGATCAGTACCTAATAGTTGAATCAGGAATCCTGGGATATATAAAATATATCCATCCCAGATTATGTAAACAGTATAAAAATTGAGTGGAAAGCTGTGTGATTACATTTATGTAATCCCAACGTGTTGATTGTGCTCAAAAATTGATCATTTAATATTACTGTATCGTTGAGTGTTTTACTAATTTCCCGTCCCGCTAGTCGACGAATTCTGTTCTTACATTATCCTGATAAATCCTTCGACTGTAAAGTGGAGAATGTTTCACTCCTTAATTAATGCGAAGACGTAACTCCTCAGAATATGCAATCGGCTTTCAGCCAGTGGATTTACGCTTCGAATCCTACTCTGTCCACCTTAGCTCGAGCAACTGGGTAATATCATCAGCCATCACATAACAAGTGGGCTTCTTAGACTGGCACACAAGTTAGCTGAGTTTTAAAAGCTGATCGTTGTTTATGAGTGAGAAATTCTTGCTGAATTGTGTAAATATTTAAGACATCAGATTTAAATGACATGAGTAATAATCACCGACTTCAGTGTCAGTCACTTTATTCCTGTAAGATATTTCAGGGATTTTAGCCTGTTGCACAAGTAGACTTTTAACAATTGAATATGTAGAAATAACATGGGGATCAGTTTCTTGAAGATATAAGGGAAGTAGTGCTTGGTGCAATCTACCAACTCAACGGTGCACATATTGTTGAAAAATGATACCAGATTTCAGTAGCGTTAGATCCTGAATTGACAATAATTAAAATTCAAAGACCATTGAATCTTATTTCATTGGCTATAGAGTCCCAAACTAGGAGACATTAACTGCCCAGGAATGTATTCATTTATTTTTTCATGGTAATGTTAGTAAAACAAAATACCTTGTCACTCATTTTATTACTTCCACGTTTTTTTCGTAGACCTAAATTAGAAAATCGTAACACTTATTGGGTAACTTCAACTTCCACCTGTTGAATTCCACCCCTTCCTTCTTTTCTAAACTACCCGTAGTAAACATTTCTTGGAATAAAGTATGATTATCTCCCCATATCCCTAGCATTGTACGCCCATGACTACGCAAGAGATGAAAGTTAAAAGATTCAAAGTTACATTGTGAACATGTTATCATAGAGTTGCCTAGAATCCAATAACTCATCATTTCTAACCTCTGCTAATTTGTGACATTGCAATGGTCATCCAGTTCGGTTCAAGTAGTAAATCACGCGAAATACGATTTCGGTAATTTATTTGTCTCGAAGCTTGATGGTCAAATATTCAGCATCTCATAGTATTGTGGGTTGATAAGATAGAGAATGTTTGAACCAGAACAGTATAACCTTGAATTTCATGTGTTGTTTTTTAATATTCTTTCTGCCTGATTTCGGCTCATCACAAACATAATAAACACTAATTGTCATCATTGTTAGGTCAAAATCATATATTTTATTCCCTTTTTTCAATAATCTCAAATTTAACATTTCCGACTTTCAAATGACCTAAATAGGAAACTCAATTATAGAACTATATATCTTTCTAACTTCATAAAGGAATATGAATGTAAATTTTCATATCCTTGATATACTCATATACTCATAGGAATTATTCTGTTTATTGAAAAAATAAACAGATATGTTTCCTATTCTCAGTCTTCCTGACTGAAATAGTAGAGATCTTTTATGGTAGTATGACAGTTTTTTTCTACTTCAGTTCCATTGAAGTAGAGTGGTTCCGTCTGCAAAACTTCAGACCTCATCTTTCGGTGAATAGATTATGCTACAGGTTTGATCACGAGCTGACATCAGTCAGAGAACCATTGAAAAACCAGTGAGTACCGGAAATGTATCTCGTCGTAGTTTGGTATTCTCCAGCAGTACGCACCCTCAGGGGCTTGAACCCGGGACCTACTGGTTACACAAGGTCAGCTCATGGACCATTCTGCCACTGGGATCCGGTCCATGAATCCCAGCTTCGCTATATACATAGTGCAGTCAGTGTGATAAGCGAGCAACTGTTCTCTTGCCAGACTTGGTGGACTCTGCTGGTCACGACTTCTCAATAGAACTCCATGTAACTTCCTGTATAGAGGGTGATTCGCTAGTGAGCATCAGATTCATTTCCGAGTGTAAGTTTGTGGCAACTTGATTGGTTACATGCCTGGTCATTAGCTAATTGATGAGAAGTCCCGAACTAGGACGAGACATTTTTCCAGGACTTCCTGGTTCTGTGACCGATATTAGCTCGTTACCAAGCCTGTAACTAATTTAATCTCTGCAAACCAACATTTGGTCAATCGATTAGGTATTTTACAATTGTATTTGGTGGTCTGTGTGAGTCGTCAGTGGGTTATTAGATGTTTCTCTCAATATATTACATTAAATCAGTTTCATTCCATGTAGTGTCAATCTGAGATTATTCTTGTAAGCTTTATTTTGTACTCACGCATATCATTTGAAACAGTTTTTAATTTACTATTGAGAAGTAAATATTTTACAATAAGATACGCTAAGAATTGTGTTTTTTTCATTCCCCTACGGTCTAGGTGGAATATAGAGCTTCAAGCTTCAGCTCGAAAATTTCAGTAGCACTGATGTTTATTTTTTTATGACTTGGGGTTACTAGCCTCATGCCCAACTTCTCATCTTTACCGGGTTTGCTACTGGCTGAGCAAGGTTTAGGAGTACTTAGGCCAGGGATCGAAAACCTGTACCATATGCGTAGTTAACGAGTTCTTTTTACCACCGACACATTGTGAACTGTGCACTGTACACAGATCCACTATCTAGGCGACATGAGAAAACCTGCTGTACTACCACTACTACTGTAATGACAGAAGACAAGAGCCAGGCAACAGATCGTTTATTGAGAAAATCAAGAGGCATTTATAGATTTTTGTGTACATGATTGTTAGCAGTGAAGCAACAACGTCTTCTGATTGGGTAAAGGTTACTCTGTATTGCTTGTGACCGTTTCTGAGAAAGTTCAGCCTTATATCTGCGAAACATATTTCCACACGTTAACTCCTCTGTGATTGTCTGGTGATTTTCTCTAAGTTAAGCTTTGCTATTGTTTTTCTCATGACCCTGATTCGGGACGTAAAGATTGACGTAAATTGTCGTTTACAATTTTGACTTGCAGCCAGCTGTCACCGCACTATTACTACTACTACTACTACTACCAGGATTATTCAGACCTTAGTAAACGGAGGAAAGTTCAAGGTTATATTCCACTGATCAAATATTAAGCACATATTCAAGTGTTGGTCAGTAGGAATTTGATTGGTTGCAGGATTTTAACATGAGCTGACATTTGTTAGAGAACCATTGGAAAACATGGGAGTACTGGAGAGCTGTTTCCCCCGTCCTAGTTTGGGACTCTTCATCAGTACGCACCCACCCTACTGGGGTTCGAACCCAGGACCTTCTGGTTACAAGGCGAGCTCGCATACTATTAAGCGACTGGAACCCGATCCAATGGCCATCCCGTGAATTCTAACTTCTGCCAATTCACAAGATAGCGCGACTCTTAGCCAAGCACATAATCTATAATGATTTAGGGCTTTAAAGTTGATGCTATAACTATTTGATGTTTTTGAAAAATTCCAAATTGGCAATTTATTTTACATTTTCTAGGTTTCACAATTGAACTTACCCGATTTGGTCATAACATCACTACTGTGGGTGGTAGTAATAATAGTAATAAAGCTGGTTCCGGTAGTCGTATTCATACGGATGTGAATTATATTCAAATACCTGCACCCTACTTACTAGATTATGATGGAAAGCAAATGAATTCATCTAGTAAACAACAACAACAACAGCATCACACAAATCTTTCAACGACGGAGAATTCTAATAATAACATACAATTTCAAAAGAATGTGATTCAGCATTGTTTGTGTAAATTGAAACCTTCTACAAATTATATGTAAGTTGCTTTTTGTTAATAAGATTTAAAATAATTACTTTTTTGATGTACCTGATTGTGGACGTCTTATCACCAGACCCTCCGACATATCTTCAGAACTAACGTATGTCATTAACAAGTTGGGTGTATTTCCAAGCTGCACGAGTATTTAGCTTTCTTTCTTTTTTCTCCTTATTGTCCAGTTGAATATGAGAGAAAAGCTTATTCTGTTCCGCAACCTCATTTCACATTTCATTGTGTCATATGATGGCGATACTTCTTTGTCACATTTTGATTTATTCGTTTGTTTGGACTTTCTCAGAATTATTTATTATTATTATTATTATTATTATTATTATTATATCCTTTAATTCCTAGAGGAACATAGGGTTTCAGCTGCGCATCTCCATTGCCTTCGGTTTTCTGCCAACGTTTTCACCCCGCTACAAGTCTCCCCACATGCTTCCATCTCCTCTTCACATGACCTCCTCCAAGTCACCCTCACGCCAACGACCAACTCGCCGCCCGCTTCCCTTTCGGCCTGGTTCCACTCGAGCAATGGCTTGTCTAGTGATGTCACTTGATGGTTTCCTCACTGTATGGCCAATCCACTGCCATTTCTTCCTGCCTATTTGTTTCACAATCGGTTCCTGGTTGGTTCACTCCCAGAGATCTCACATTGTCGCTGATCTTTACTGGCCATCTAATCATGAGTATTGAGCGAAGACAACTGTTAATGAAGGTCTGAAGTTTGTTTGAGATGCTCTTTATGACGTGCAGTGCAAGTCTCTGATCCGTATAGTAGCACCGACTTCAGATTGGAGTTGAAAATCCGGATCTTATTTTTGATTCTGAGTGCTGTTCATCTCCACACCGAACTATTTGGGGGGTGATTGTTTTTTCCTTTCAAATTAGTTTGTAGATTTGGCGTATTTTGACATGTCTGCCGACTGAAGTTACATTTGAATAAGAATCATGTGGAAATCCACTTGCCGTCTTTGAGTTTGTACATTGTATGCCAATAATGTTTTCCAAGTCGACAACGTACTTGTAATTCTCCCCATGAATTCAGAACAAAGATATGGCATTGTATCTTCTTCTTACTAGTCTATATTCATGGATTCTTTCGACAATTCAGCTATCGAAGTGACCGACGGGGTATCGTGGACAATTTTTACTGTTTGATTTTTTTAAAATTATATTTTCCTTTTCCTCCTTAGACAGTGAACCTTTTACTTTCTTAGCAGGCTTTGTAGTGATGGGACTAGTTTATACGTCACTCCAGTTCTAAGTGGACGAAATGATTGGTTGGTGACGTCTGAAGCTTTTGTCTGTCTGTCTTTTTTCGAGATAGAATTTCGCACCGATGTGCGGCTGTTCAAGTCGCCACTCTCCCTTCATGTAGCACTCAATACCAGAGAAGAAAGTAGAAGAAATGCATAATAGAGACAGTAAATAGAGGTGTGAGACAAAGGAATAGTAATAACGAAGAATAATATTATTTCATTGGAAATCATAAGTCACAAGGAGTGGATGCATCTGCACCATCCATTGAGAACGATTTTGAGCCATGTCGCCAGTTGTTTCCAACTACTGGTTTTTACCGTCCCGATGACCTCAACCACTCAGGAAGTCTACACCTTCCTACGTGGCTGGTTTAAACTAACTGTTGTGGATTTCATTGACTGGTGCCACGTTTTGGTTTGACCACCACTAGTTAACTCCTTTCCAACCTGACCCTATGTCAGGTAACATTGCCCGTTGTCGAGGAAGGCGATGACTAGGCATACGTAACACATGTTCTAACCATCTCAGTCGATGTAATTTCACAGCCTCATCGATTGATTTCCCCTCCTTACCTAGAACTCGACGCCTAACCTCAATATTCCTCACTCTATTATACCATTTCACGCGGGAGATAGAACGCAGACACCTTTGATCAAAGACAGCTAACCAGGCTTTTCATGTCTTCCACTCTCAATGACCAGGTCTCGCAGCCACAGAGGAGGACGGGGCGAACTGGTGAGCAGTACGCACGTCCTTTGGTTGATGGCCGGATATCACGTCTACTAAGCTAGAGACAGCGTAAACTGGCATATGCGAAACTAGCCCCCTGTATCCGTGCTGAGATTTCGTCAGAGATCAACTCGTTGGCGTTGGCTGATGGTACTTCCCAAATAAGTGAAGTGGTCAACGTGCTCTACTACTTCACCCCCTATTTCTAAACTAGGAGTCATTGTGGTCCAGTCCTGTAACATCATCTTACATTTGGCTGGATCGAATTGCAAGCTTTTGTGGTAACTGGGTTGTCCTATATTCTACTGGGAAACATTTGCTGATAAGGTTATATGATAAAGAAGAAAAGATCATCAACTTCCAACTAAACAGATCAACAATGGAGCTAACAGAATTACCATCCATGTAATGTAATAAAACTCGAAATCAAAGGCTTATGAATTAGAAAAATCTCATCCCTCACTTACCACTGGACAATAGTAAGAAAAAGGAAACATAGATATTCACGCAACTTGGAAATATGTCTCACGTGTGTTACTGATGCTAGTGCTGGAAACGTGTCATGCGTCCTGGTGATGAATCATCCATGCTCAAATACCAAAGCTTCTGAGAGCAACAAACAATCTATCAAATATACACATTCAAAATAAAATTATTATAATGCGTGAACTGGTAAAATTATGTATGCACTTTTGGAGAAAAATAATAGATAATATCATAAAACGTATTGAAACCAACCGGTCATATGAAAGTCCTTTTGCGTCACTCTGAGACTCATAGACATTCTATACGTTTTCACCAAGTCTTTAATTTTCGATGCTATCAATATACTTGATTTTATTAAATTCCCCTTAACTATGAGGTTCATTTATCATAATATCTCCGAATTCCTTCTAAATCTTACAATAAAGTGAAGACTTCTTTCTATCTTACTTTTGATGAAAAAGATACCAGAAATACAGAAATGAAGGACTTTTATGGGAAACAATTTTAAATTTTTTCTTCCTGTGATCATGAATTCATGCGTCTTTTATCTTACTTTTTAATCTTAAAAGCCATAAATTTTTGCTTCTTCTTTCTGTGGTTTGTATGCCATAACTTTACTCTGCTTATGTGAAGTTTATTAAGTTGTGTTATTGTGCAAGAATGTAATTTGGTCATTATACTACGCATACCGAGCCACTACTTTCTTCATCGAGCTATGTTAGCATACTTAGAATTGGATTGGAGAAGAGTTAGGACTAGCCAAATCAAAACATGCCAGCACATAAATCCATGATGTCTTTGACTGTTGAGTTCAACTAGCTACGTAAGGTGTAAACTGTCTAGCTGTGGTCTTCAAGACCCTAAGAATAAATATCTGGAGATTGTTGGTGACATAGTTTGAAATTATTGTTAGTAGTACACATGCATTCTCTCTTTGTGGTCACCCAGATCCACGGTGTTCTTATTATTCTTCGCGTAATTGTTCTGTACCTCGTTAAATTCTGCTTATTGTGGTTTTTTGCACAATTTGTGTGCACAGGCTTATCACTGTATTGAGAAATCATCATGATTGGTTGATATACAATATTTATTTGGGAAAGTATGTAGGTATATTAGAGTTAAGCCTAGTGAGTTCTAAATTTAACTATGGGAATCTTTATATGTGTATATTTATACGTCATGGAAATTATTTTTAAGAGCCACTGATATTTGATGCCTGGATTGGCAATGAAATCTTTTTCAACAAATTTAAGCCTCTAAGAGTGATGTGCTGTTAACATGTCCAAAGCTTCAGTCCTGATGACACCGTATATGATATTTCTTCCTCATTTTCGACATTGGCGTCAAATCTGGAGAGCTGTATGCACGCAATTACAACTTCATCAAAGAACTCACACCTGACATTTAGGAAATTCATGCATTGAAATTTATTTTTATTCCAACCAAAACAATTATGTCATGGAGGATAGTGAGAAGACATGCAAATCATTTAGGTTATTTTGTATCTTTCCTACGAAACCGTGTTTAACATGCATTGATATCCACTGCTAGTCTAAACCTCTGCTGTGTCTGTATTCTATTGTAAAATGTGGAAATTTGGTGTCCTCCCATGTTCTATAAACAGGCATGAACCCTTTGTTTATCCCTCTATCCGGATTGCTGGATTCCCATTGGCTGTTAATAGTCTTAATGCATCACTGAATTACTGCGTTTTCAGGGTCATTCTAACTGTATATACATATACATGGTTTCTGTCTAGCATTTTGGCTGTTGTTTCTGAGACAGTAAAAGCTCTCTCATCGACGTCCAGTCTTTACTTTTGTCTTTGCGTGCCAGTGGTGTTATTATTGACTTGCGATTAGGACAGATTAGCCAGTGCATTAAGTTAGTATTCGCTCATAGTCTACTAGGTCGTAGTTCCAGTTATAACAGATGGTTTAACTGTAAAGCTCTCATAGTCCATCCAGTTAGACGCCACGGTATTAGATGGATAAAGGTGATCTTTAAAAAGTTGCTTTGGTGATGATGGTTAACAGTGAAATCCAAGAAGTGAGTTTCATCCTATTTAGCTAGGATTTATGCGCTGGTTGAACCTGTACTCTTCCAGTGACTGATGGTATTGCCATTGAAACTTAAACCCTGGAGGCATCTTTCTTAACACCAAAAAATTATTCACCAGATGACTGAGCCACGTGTCAATAGTGGATAAACATTTCAGTCCAGTAAGATCAGTCGACTAGAAACACTAAATAAGTTCAATACTTGATCTCAATGTTTTATTATCCTGTTTTAATTATTATGAAGATCAATCTGTTTTACTGTAAAAAATTAATATTTTCTTAAAGCACTTTAGTCCGTCGGTGGCACAGCGATTAGGATGCTCACCGACCATGCACATGGTCCGGGGTTCGATCCCCGGCCACCGACGCACTCCTTTACCTCGCTAAGCCAGAAATAATGCTGGTAAAGAGGAAAGGTTGAGCATGAGTCTAGCAACCCCATCCTGTAAAATTAAAAACACTGCTACAGAAACTTCAAGCCACTAGCTTGAAGTCACCCTATGTTCCACTGGGGACATGAAGGAAAAACTGAATTTGATATTGATATTATCTACATTTACCTTATCAATTACAACTTATTGCAACTTCAAAAGAATATTACGTCAAGCCTTGTAGCGGGATTATTGCATTTCCGATTATGTTGATGCTGCTGTTCGATTAACACACCTAATGATAATAATAATAATAGTACTATTTTTTAAATACTTCAGTGATTCTTATCTCATGTTCAATAAGTGTTCTGTTTTAACTTTCTTCTTGTTTTTTTCGTCCCTTTAATATTTAGGTTACGTATTCAAGCAGTCAATAAATTTGGTCCAAGTGAATATTCAGTACAGACCGAATTCACTACACTTGCTCCATTACCTCAACCACCTGTATTTAGTCAATATAAAAATTTAACCTCAAATTCTGTTAGGCTAGAATGGAATTTATTAGCTAATCATATGAATTCTGATGATGGTGATGACGATTATAACAATGCTGGGGATGACAGTAATGTTGAGAATGCTAGTCACAATAATAGCAGCAATGCTGAAAATCATGAAAATGAACAAAACGATAATGATGGTAGTGGTGACGGTGGTGAAGAAGATGAAGTAGTAAACAGTCATGAAGAAGTGCACATGAATAATTCGAATTCGAACCAACTTCGTCATAGCAGTAGTAATAATAATAACTCAAAACAACAACAGAATAGATTGTTAAAGAAACAAAAGGCTAATTTCAAATCACTAGAAAGTCAAATCACATTCACACTGGAAATAAGTCGAGAACCTGACTTAGAGTAAGTCAAACACACACACACACAAGAATATATATATTATGTCCTCATTATGTTTCCTTATTCTTATTTTCCACTTGTTATTTGCCCTTCAAAAGACGTAAATACGTCTTTTCAAGCAGTTAAGTGCCCAGCAGAAATATAAAACACTTTCTGTTCAAAGTAAGTTTTACTTTAAACTACTTGAACACTATAGGGTGACCGATGCTGTGTGTATCTAATCTTTGGGGTTACTGCTGACTCAATTCTATAAATGAATCAATAAATCTGTTCATTACAGTTCTACAGGAGATCACTCATGGGTCTGAATAGCTTAGTGAATGATGTGAGTTCGAATCCTAGAACAGCCCCTATACGATTTGATATGCGCTTCGCTCATGAGTGACAAGAACGACAAAAACATAGCTCTGATTACCTTCAACTATCTAAAAGCCTAACTACTATCATTTCTAAAATTTACCATCTAAATTTTAAGTTTGAACACGGAATGATAAATCAAACAGAGAACCACTTAAAATCACCAGGGAGTACTGGAGAGCTATTTCGTCCTAGTTTGGGACTCATTGGCAGAACGAACTCACTTGGGTGCGAACCCAGAACCTTACAGTTACAAGTCAAGTTCATTTACCGTCTAGCCACTGGGACCCGACTCATTGGTCAGCCCATGAAATCTAAATTCTAGGATAGAGCTGTGACGGGGGGATCTTCTTTCTCCTTTATAAAACCATGAAGGTAAGTGTTCGCTGATTCGTTTGGATAGCAAACACTGGGTACCGTCGACATACCTAGCTCCACATGAGCAGGTGAATTGGTAGATGCACACTGATGAGGCCCCCAGTGGAAGCTTATCCTTCACGTTCGTGTGAATCATTGGTTTCGTAGAGAAAGTCAGTCTGAGTTCCGCTGCGAAGAAGGTTTTCTTCAGTGAACAGCACAGGCGGTTTCTCAGTATTTCTGCTGAAGAAGCTCCGTTGAATTGTAAATTCAAATAGAGAAGTTTCTTGGGAGCAGTAAGCATGGATGGTTTTTGTGTTTTGGGCTTCATAGCTTTTGTGATGAAACGTTCCGGGTAACCGTTTTCAAGGAGGATTCTTTTCAGGGTCTTCAGCTCTTCTTCTATAGTTTTCGGACTGCAAATGTTGTGGATTCTGTGAGTCAGTGAGCGGATTAGATTTCGTTTTGTATATATAGGCACCCAACTGTGAAAGCTGATGAGTTGTCCATTCCATGTCGGTTTTCTGTGAATGGATCTTTTGAGTGTCCCATCTTGTTCGCGTCTTGCTAGTTGTACGTCCAGAAAAGATATTGTTGCGTCGGACTCCTTCTCTAGTGTGAACTGGATTGCTAGATGGCAACTGTTGAAGAAGTCCAATATGTTCTCCAAATTTTCCTCATTATTGGCGATAACTAGAACGAAATGTTGACTTACGAGCTCATGCAGTCCAAGATTTAGACCAAGAACTACGCCAATCGTTCGAAGAATATGTCGAAGAAGTTGCACAGAAACAATGTGAGAATGCCAAGTCAAACCTTATTAAAAGCCTGAAGCCGACGAGCGAACCTGAACGTCTATTCCCAAGCAATCCAGAAAAATACGTATTTAACCTGTCAAACATTGAGCTGTCAGAACTTCAACTAGAAGCACTGTCCCTCGGTCCAAAGTTCTGCACAAAAGCATCAAAAATCCAAAAACTTCAATCCCAAGTCCAGTTCGGAAACCTGATAAACCAAACATATGATCTTTCACCAACTTCCGAAGAGAACCTGCAACAGTTCAGGTCGGTAGTCCTCGACAGTTGCCATAAATTTATGAATACCAAACCAAATGGAAAGTCAATACTGACCAAAAACACCATAAAGAGCTCAAGGAATTAATAAACAACAAAGAGATTATTCTGTTACGCCCGGATAAAGGTGGGGAATCGTAGTCATGAATCGTGAAGACTACGTAAGTAAAATGCTGACCATACTATCCGACGAATCTAAATTCATAAAACCAGCAAAGGAAAAGAACATGACGGAACAAACTGAACAAAAAATAAAACGAACCTTCTCCGAAAACTAAAGACTGAATCATTCATCGATCTCGAAACCTTCGAATCGTTGAAACCATCGGGCTCAAATATACCCCGGCTATATGGACTACCGAAAGTGCACAAGAAAAACGTACCTCTTCGACCCATTCTCGATATGACTAATTCAATTCATCACAGTACCGCACAATGGCTAGTAAACATACTAGAACCAGTCAGAAGGCAAATCCCCCGCCACTCACTTCGAGACTCCTTCGATTTTGTCAATTCCATTGAAAGCGTCAGCGTTACCAATCAAACCATGTTCTCACTAGATGTGGTATCACTGTTTACAAACGTCCCACTAACCGAAACAATATGCTACATATGTGAATATATTGATTCAAAGGAGATGAACATTGGTATACCCACTGACTATTTGAAGGAACTCCTATTAAGATGTACTCTAAACGTCCAATTCACTTTCAATAATGAAATATATAGACAAAAAGATGGTATAACTATGGGCTTACCACTCGACCCGCTGCTTGCAGATATTTTCATGTCAAAACTAGAAAATAGACGTTCAGGGTCGCTCGTCGGCTTCAGGCTTTTAATAAGGTTTGACTTGGCATTCTCACATTGTTTCTGTGCAACTTCTTCGACATATTCTTCGAACGATTGGCGTAGTTCTTGGTCTAAATCTTGGACTGCATGAGCTCGTAAGTCAACATTTCGTTCTAGTTATCGCCAATAATGAGGAAAATTTGGAGAACATATTGGACTTCTTCAACAGTTGCCATCTAGCAATCCAGTTCACACTAGAGAAGGAGTCCGACGCAACAATATCTTTTCTGGACGTACAACTAGCAAGACGCGAACAAGATGGGACACTCAAAAGATCCATTCACAGAAAACCGACATGGAATGGACAACTCATCAGCTTTCACAGTTGGGTGCCTATATATACAAAACGAAATCTGATCCGCTCACTGACTCACAGAATCCACAACATTTGCAGTCCGAAAACTATAGAAGAAGAGCTGAAGACCCTGAAAAGAATCCTCCTTGAAAACGGTTACCCGGAACGTTTCATCACAAAAGCTATGAAGCCCAAAACACAAAAACCATCCATGCTTACTGCTCCCAAGAAACTTCTCTATTTGAATTTACAATTCAACGGAGCTTCTTCAGCAGAAATACTGAGAAACCGCCTGTGCTGTTCACTGAAGAAAACCTTCTTCTCAGCGGAACTCAGACTGACTTTCTCTACGAAACCAATGATTCGCACGAACGTGAAGGATAAGCTTCCACTGGGGGCCTCATCAGTGTGCATCTTCCAAATCTTACTTCTACCAATTCCATGTTCAAACCTGAAGTATATCAAGTCCCTACAAAGAAACTATTGAAAATTAATCCGATTTTCGCTAGTGAAGATGCCTGGAGTTTCTGTTCAGAAGTCGTGACCACTGGGGTCCACTCAGTTGGGAGTGAGGACAAATACCCACCAATGACATTGATGCTAAAATCACGAATTGGTAGAAGTCAGAATTCATGGGCTGGCCATTGAGTCGGGTCCCAGTGTCTGAATGGTCTACAACTTTCACTTATAACCAGAAGGTCCTGAGTTGGAACCCCAATGGATGCATACTGCCGGTGAGTTCCAAACTGGGATGAAACAGCCGTCTACCACTCCCTGGTGGTTTTCAATGGTTCTCTAACTGATAACAATCCATGGTCAAACTTGAAACAAATTAAGATTCCTACCAACTAACTCTTGATAGTTTGGATTTTCCCCGTGTCTCAGTTTTCGTGCGAATTTACGCGAAACCCTAGTTCCAGGGCATCCTAGTGATTGCCTACAACCAATCAACATCAGCCCTTACGTTGCTGGATCATGTGTATATGAATAATTATTCTTGCTTAGATTAACTATTAATATCCTACACTGACATAGTCATTTAAAGGCTAACAAAAGTTTGCAAATAACAAATTTGAAACAAGTAGACAAATTTACGAATGCTAATATTCACCATATTTTTCTAAAAACCTGAATTGATATTTTAGCGATGTTTGCCTGTGTTAAAAATTAAAAAAAAGTAAATTATATTGAACGAAATCCTCTAATGGAAAAGCTTGTATTTAAGGCTTACAAAGATTCGTTATTTGAAGTGCTGACAACAGTCATTTATAACTGCCCCTTCTTTTTTCTGCCTTTGTGTGCTGCTTGGGGTGTGGCAACTTGAAATGCTGCTCTTCTGCGCTAAGTTGTATGCTGAAACACAATCTGACTTGAGAATTGCTTTTGAAATATAATGAAGTGATCAGTGATTTAATCTTGAAACGGATATGAAATCTACTGCAGTAGTAGTTTCCAAAACATTCCGTCTATATTAGTCTGTTTATTAGATGTATCACACAGTGGAACAGTATTATTTACTGGATGACATTTCGAACAAAATTTATTGTTCATAATCATATCACATTAATTATAATCACACGACTATGAAACTTGAGTTTTATGGTTTTCTTTGTTTTCTCCTATTCATCGTAGGGGTGTTAGTAGAATTTTCCAGATATCTAGGTGAACAGGTGTTGAATCATTCCTATTACATGTATTCGCAGTTGATTCGATAAACAAAGCTTCTGCTATCAATCTCTCCCTCCACCCTGTGACATTAGATTTTAAAACTGTCATCCTACCCCATCCTATTGTATGTTTGTGTGTAACTGCTTGTAGTGAATGCTATAACTGAACTATTCTCTAGATTTCTTATCTTATTTGGGTCAACCAAGCTAGATTTAGCTACGTTTTTATGTTCAGCTAGTCTGACTGCCCTTGTTCTACTAGACTGACCTATGTATTTGACCTGACAGTCATTCCAGCAGACAGGGTATTAGATAAACTAAATTGTTTTGTTTTAAAGGCTCCACAGGACCCTTTAACCGACAAAACTTGTTTCTAATTGAGTTTGTGGGTTTGAATGCCGCTTTTATTCCTACCTTGTTAAGAATTCTGCGTAAGGTGGTTTCCGAGGTTCCTTCCTTGTATGGAATTACTACTGATTACTTAGATTCCTTATTGTTAGTGTCGTCATTATTATTATTATTATTATCACTATTATAATTATTATTATTGTCACTGTCGCTACTATCATTATTTATTTTTACATTTCCTTACATATTTCTTGACTAATTTATCCGGGAAATTCTTAAGTTTCAAGGTTTCTTTTATGTGTACCACTTCCTGTCTTAGATTTTCTTTGGTACTACTTAGTTTTTGTGCTCTATCACTTGAGCATTTCACCAATCCTATTTTTACTGACGTAGGATGGGATGATCGGAAGTCCAAATATCTGTTTGAATGTGTGGGTTTTCTGTAAACACTAATGTTTAAATTAAGAGAACCTTTGTTTATCGAATCAACTGCAAATACATGTAATAGGAATGATTCAACACCTTTTCACCTAGATATCTGGAAAATTCTACTAACACCCCTACGATGAATAGGAGAAAACAAAGAAAACTATAAAACTCAAGTTTCATAGTCGTGTGATTATAATTAATGTGATATGATTATGAACAATAAATTTTGTTCGAAATGTCATCCAGTAAATAATAATACTGTTCCACTGTGTGATATATCTAATAAACAAACTAATATGGAATTACTTACTACCACAGTGCCCAAGTTTTACAAATATATTAACATTCCGTCTATGTTACAAACGAGATATTCAACGACCAAACAGAGAAGGGTTAGCATACCTACCAATCAGTAGTAAGGCAACTTCACGCATGCTCACATGCTCAATAGTTAATGTGTGTATTAAAAAACACACAAGTAACTATGCGCAGAACACGCTTACACTTCTCTTCTGATTTACTTTAAAATTCATTTAGGAATATACACTACACTATTATACATTAATATTGTTTACAATCCAATAAAAAGAGGTGTTCACAGCTTAGCTTTTGGATAATTATCCCAATTTCTTTAATAATTTTTATTTACCTTAGAATAAATAGGTTGTTTACTGGTGTAATTCTTCCCCCTTAATTAATAATTAAAACCAACTGGATGAAAAAATGACTGACTGGCTGAGTTGTATATATAATTTGTTTTTATTTTACATACTTGATAATTGTAAAGGTTAAGTGATCTCCCGTTGTTACTATTATTATTATTATTTTCTTAAGTTAAATAGATTAAATAGGATAAGCATATGCATATATACAGGTGAATGTTATGTACTAAATTCCATCATCATCTTTTTATTTGTTTACAATCCGTATATGTATTATGCGTTAATTTGGCTAACTAAATGTATTGTTGTGTTACCTTATATTCCGCCTTGCATCATTTTCCACCACGTTTATTATCATTTTAATCACACTCTCCGTCTATTATACTTCTTCATTTATCTTATTCAAGGATTCTAATGTATTCTGATATTGCGTTTTATAGAGATTTTGATTTATTTTAATGTAGATTCCATCACCAACCGATTTCGGTTAACCGGTCATTGAAGACCAAGCAGTTTTGGATATCTGTTCTTTTCCGGCATTGGCATCCTCTTTAAAAAATGTACATTGATGAAATTAATCGGTTAGAATCCCTAGAAAACTCAATATCTCATTGTGAATCTCTGAACCATTTTCTAGCTGTAAGATGGAAGTCGTGCTTATATTCTGATGAGTAGTCTTCGATGGTATTGATTACTAGTGGTGCTAGAGGTGGAGGATAGACAGAAGTTAGCATTCATTAGCCACTGCCATTCCAGCCTAGTAGTTGAATGGCCAAGGGCTTGCTTGGTCTAGTAACCTAGGGTCTCTGGTTTAATGTCTGGTTGAGTTATGAACGGTACACTGCTGAAGAGCCAGGAACTATGGTTTGTGGGGCTCCTTGAGATTTTCAAAGATTCTCTAATCGATATCGGTTGCTGACTAAATCTACGTTCTCTGTTGTTGCTATCAGTATATTCCTGTTTGCTCATAGGCTGTTTTATACCATGACAACTTAAAGTGGTGATCTTCTGTGTAGGGTTTTACGTTGTTGTTTTTTTTTGTCTGTCGGTCGGGGACTGTATAGTCTTTAATGATTCTCTAAATGATGTTAGTTGGTCTACTTTTTGAACTGCACTGAAATTAATTAATTCATCATAAACTCTGTGACTGAAAATCACTCAAAACTAACAATATTGCTCTACCTGTGTTTTACATGAGTTTAGTTTATATAAAGCCTTTTCATCACTTGAGGTTACCTTTTTATACGCTTTTATGTGCTTGTTAATCACACATCTGGGGAAAAAAGACACTGCTAAGAAATAATCTCCAGTGTGTTTATTTTCTGTCACTATGGGAAAATATATCGACAAATAACATTAGTGTTTTATTCTTTTTTTCTCATTGATACATCTATGCGTTTGGAGTGGGTTGCTTACTGAGCCGAGGTTTTGCTCGGTAGTTGTGTAACATCGTTGGTTAAGCAGTCAGTATTCAGATTGAATATACACGCAAATACAAATTGAACACTTAAATTGAATTTCGACAGATTATATATATATATATATAGTAGTCATTCAACCAGTGTTTAGTGACAAGTGATGCATGTCATTATAAGCTATCTCTCGGTTATTTGTAGAATTTCATGTTTGTTTTCAAGTGGATTATGCTTCTATCAAACTTATTATTCACTTGTCGACAGCATTTGAAGTGAGTTAATACACAACCAAATTATCTTGGATGAAGAGTTTTAATTCATGAAGTGCTGCCAATTAACATTGTTTATTATTAGGTGGTTGGAGGCAATCGGCCGTAAGCCGAGCTGTTCGGCCTCACGATTGACACGGGTTCGAATCTCTGAAATGACATGAATTTTCTTCAAGATTACAGATACGCCTTATTGACTGGCGAGTGCCAACAAGCACGAATCCTTAGTCAAGCAAGGGTTTCTGTCGATTGTCTCCAATCGCCTAAAAACAACACTTCAGATTGTACTGTGATAGTCAGTCACTTGGCACAGTGCCCACATTGCGAAGTTTACTGATAGAATTCAGTCTGCACTGTAAAAAGGACTAGACCCATGACACTGCTTAGTGTCTAATCAAAGTAACATTGTTTATTAGTTGAAATTGAATAGATAGGGAAATGTTATACATGCATTCTTAGTACAATTATGTTTTAAGTAGTGATGATTACGTTAACTACTGACACATTTGTTAGTATTCATCAGACAAGTTCTGATGCGAAGAGCCTTTCATTTAAAAACTGATGACTGAGAAGACACTCCCCACAAGTATAACACAAAATATAGGTTAACCGCATACACCACATATACTTTTTCTGTTATCTTTCAGATGGACAACAATCTATGAAGGACAAGCAAGTGTTCATAAAGTGAATCGTTTATGTGAATCCACAGTTTATCACTTTCGTGTTCGTGCTACCAACACAACTGGTTCTGGACCTTATAGTACAATTCAAACTATACACACTCAGAAATCATCACCTCCAGCAGTACGAGGTAAGTTTGAAATTTTGTTTAGAAGTGTTCATAGTGATACCGCATATTTAGAGATTTTCGTCACCTTCCTGAGATTTTTATTTTTATTTTTGATTACAGCTTGACTCCACACAGTATTTTTGGTACAAGTATGGAATTTCAGCATGGACGTCGGTAGCCCGAATTTTGCAGGCCGACCATAGATATCAGGTGTTCTTCCGCAAGGGATCGAACCTGGGACCATGTGCATGGTCAGCGAGAGTCTTCACCACTGTGCCACTTACTGGAACCCAGACTTAGCTGTCATACATGGATATTGACTTCATGTTAAGATAGAGAGTGTAGTCCTTAACTTAGAAAACAAATCTATATTTAGATAAAACTGATAATACGCAAAGCTGTGTACAATTTCAATACTAGAGCTCTAGATAGACACATTTATGATCAAAAATTTAAAAATGTACCTATTTGAATATGTATCAAAGAGCTAGGAAATAGCACAAGAATGCAGACTGGAATATTCGATCGGTTTTGAAGCACCATACATCAAACATTGTATATATCAATTCCAGATCACTGTACGTGATGGCAGCAATAAACAGCTGATCGAAGGCTCTAGATTAGTGCAACTGTTACCAAGCTATGAATAATACATACTACTTATTTTTCCAGTTGTCCACAAAATGGTTACTGTGTTTTTCTCATTTTTATAGGCTTAAAAATCAGTGAATTGAGTTCAGATCGTTGCCAGTTAGAATGGACTCCAGTAAATCAATTAGGCATGGACCCTATTGTCTATCTATTACATTTACTCCCTGTTTCACCTAATACTCAACAGTCAACAAACTTGAGTCAGGTAATCATTTGATATTATTATTGTTCATAATATGATGTATGCTTTATCTTTTATTTTAAAACTTGAGAGTTTTATTTCTAAATTACTTCTTGATTTTATTCCATTCACTTTTTTTGATGTAATATGTTTGTATACTGTTGATGTTTTGTGAGCGAACAGCATTACTTTTCAAGTAATTAACTGTCACAAATTTGAATTATTTAAAAAACACTGAAAGCCAAGAAACATAACTTGGATGTTTCGTCCTTGCTCGGGTTTCCTCAACGGAATTGAATACCTTATTATTCTTTCCAGTTACTTCTATTGTCTCCATTTATTTTTCTCACTTGTACCTATTTACAACATGACACGATCTTCATACATGACTATGTGTCTTCTTTGCTCAAGTACTCAACTTCCGGTCAGTGAGTCCCGGGTTCAAATTATCGTTCCACTTACGTCAGCCAGCCCAGTCGACTGCTTGATTTCTCAAGCCATCACACATAATAAAATGAGGCTCTTAGGCTTAGTACACGAGAAATCTGTTCCGAAAAATAACTAAGTTCAAGCCAAATAGCTAACTGATAGAAATATAAATGGGCTGTTCACTGAATAAATTGGAATGCTTATCATTTCTGCGATAGCTTTAGTAAACACTGTAGAGACGATAGCTACAATTCACATGATCTATTAGCTAGCAGGAGATTTGGAAAAGAATTTTATCCAAGATCACTAACGCGTTATATATATACATCAATGTATACTGCTATACTGAGCATTGTTTATTTGGTAACTTTTTAACTGATCACATAAAATCTGCCAGTTAAGCAACCATGGCAACTGTACGAATGACACCTTTTAATTATCCTTTATTTAAACAAATTAAGAACAAACTTGATAGAAAGTAAAGCATTCATTACAGTTGGTTTCATTTTTGTTAGCTGTTTATAATCTAAGTAGACTAATAATTCTAATTAAACTACATGTACTTATATACAATTGGTGGTTTGTGGTTAGCAGTGGAATCCAGGATGCGCATTTCGTCCTAATTGGGACTCGTCATCTGGATGTACCTGCATTTCTCAGTGAGTGATGATGTTCCCACCGAGGCTCGAACCCAGTGCCCATAGTTTCAAACGCCAAAGCGTTATCCACTAGACCACTTGGGCCACGAGAGCCACCTCTTGTGCAACGGGTCATATTAATTATTGAATTGAATTCGGTCCAATCAATCGACGGGAAAATCAAAAATTCAATTCAATACATGTACTTATATATGGAGTAATGACAGAAGATAATAAAATCAGTAACGAACACGTCATATCTATCTATTTTTAATTACATTGATAGTCGGGTAGGTCGATATTGTTGACGATAAAGTGTTCCAATTGGTTGGCTGTTGGCCCAAGTTGTCCAATGAAGTTACTTCATGTCCACAACACAAACTAAATATAGATTTGAGGAATAAATAGTTTTACATCTGCAGCCATTGGCTTAAAATGTTGATTTCAGGTATGAACACTTCCTATCAGTCTGCATCTATACAGCACATGCCACAATATGCGTAATGTTAGATGGTTGGCGATAATCGTCTCAAAGCTCTGGACCCAGATTTCTTGGTTTTTCGTACTTGTCAGCCAGGCGTATCCACAACCTTAAAGGGTTTGGTATCCCTTCTGAGATTTTAACCCATATCAGCCAACTCTTACGTCAGAGAGCTAATCTAGCCCATGATTGGTCTATAATGACAGAATTTTATGTGCCAGTTTGCAGTGTAATCACCAATCTAGGAAACTCACCATCATTGTGCACTTTTTGAAAACTGGTTAACATGGAAATACAGTGATATCACTTCTGCAACACCAAAACAAAGTTGTATAAACATAAGGAGTAAAGTATGAAGGTGCGATTGAAGAGGAACTTAAAGTTGTATGTGACACGTTATTTGAAGACCGCTCCCTATAAAAGTTCACTACTAACCACATGTCTGTCTGTCTGTTTTCGACATAGAACTTTGCACAAATGTGCGGAAGTTCAAGTCGCCACATTCCGTGTAGCACGCGAAGCAAGAGAAGAAAGTACAAGAAAAGCATAATAGAAACAGTGAGCAGAGGTGTGAGACAAAGGAGTAATAAAGAAATACAAAACAGTTTCATTGAAGATCATAAGTCACAGGGAGTGGATGCATCTGCGCTAGCCACTGAGAACGGTTTTGAGCCATGTCACCAATTGTTTCCAACCATAGATTTTTACCGTCCCGAGGACCCCAGCCTGGAAGTCTACACCTATCTACGTGGCTAAGACCAACTGTTGTGGATTTCATTGACTGATGCCAAGTTTTTGTTTGACCGCCGCTAGCTTTTTTCCAGCCTGACCCTATATCCGCTAACATTGCTCGTCGAGGGAGACGATGGCTTGGCATACGTAACACATGTCCTAACCATCTCAGTCTTTGTAGCTTCACGACTTCGTCGATTGATTTCCCCTGTTTACCTAGAACTCTGCGCCTAACCTCCATGTTGCTCACCTTATTATGCCACTTTACACGGGAAATAGAACGCAGGCACCTATGATCAAAGACAGCTAGTCTTTTCATGTCTTCCACTCTCAGTGACCAGGTCTCACAACCATAAAGGAGGACGGAGAGTGGAGAGGAAGTGGAGAGCTATCAAGTCGAGGAGTTGCATCAGTGGAAGGAAGGCAAGATGATAGAGATGAAGATGAAGACAAAGATGAGTGAGTAATAGAGAGGCTTCGTGTGCATTTCGGATTGTGAGGGCGATTGTTACTTCCCGGCTGCCCACACCGTGGAAGTTGGTTGCGTGACCGCAGAGCCCAGGGGACAACTGCTTGAGGCCGGTCACACGCGGCCTGTTTTTGTTCGTTCTTTTTTGTTTGGTGTGTCTCAGTAGCAGATTTATCACTCCCGCCCTGTGACATGGCAGCAGGAAGCGCGGTCGTTGTTAATCCGGGCCACGGCCGATCCGGCATGAAATTTTGTAATTTTGTATTGGACATGATGTTGGATTGGGTAGGTGCTTTTTGTTTAACCGCTATCCAAACAACCTGCCTGGCATGGTAGAACCTCAAGAGACATAAGTCTCAGCCAGTATAGCTTGATTAGGTCATTGCGGTGTTCAAGCCCGACCACCACGTCAAGGTAGCAGCTTTCGGTCGAGACTAACCACATGGCCAAGAAAGTAGAAAAGAATTCTTCTGTATCTGTTAACAAGATGTCTCTGTGTATACGACTGCAATTTAAAGGTGATATACCAAATGAAACAATAATCAAAAAGTTGAGAAAATCAATTCAAAGAATGTTTAATACCTGTAAGTTGCAGCTTATGCTTTCCACACAACCGGTCGTGATTCCGATAGTGGAAGGTAAAGTATCTAGGTTAACCACTGTTATGTACTCGTCGCTAAATTATTGTTATGGTCTGGTCGAGAAACTAATAGTCCTGACGCAAGAAGGCGGAAATCAGAAGACCACTAGGTTTGCGATGATACTTCTATTGTCCAAACACAAGGAGACGAAAATAAATGGTCTCACACCAAAGTGGTAAGTAAGTAAAGTAAAGTAGTTCACACAAATTGTGTATGCGAAATATATATGAATGTTCAGACAAGGGTGTGAAAAATCATTAGACAGTCTTAACATGAATGGCTAATTATAATGGAGTATCGATCCATATATAAAGCATATAGCAGACATGTCAACAACAAACATATATGGATATATGTCACCAAGCAACGGACTGTCAACAAACACTCATATTATATATAATATAATATAAGGAGAATATACATTGTTAAAGGAGACAAGTTCATACAAGTGAAATGGTCACAGACTAAGAGAGCAAACAGAAAGAGAGACCAACATACACACACACATAAATATATATATGTGGATACATATCACCTCCCCTTTTGAGAAGAATGATGATTAATAGCGTGCTTTCTTGGGGTTTATCTGAAACCGTTCAGTTTGTTGTCGACGTCTGTTGCTTCGTCTGCTTGTTGAGTTTGCGGCTTCTGCTTTGTCTGACGTTGTCTGAGCTGCGCACTTCTGCTTTTCTGTTTTGTCAGTCGTAGGTAAGTTAAAAGTATCCAAGAGAATATCCAGAGGTAGGGATGACTGTGTACTGGTAGGGATATTTGAGTTTCTTGGCCGCAACTGATTGTAGTGACGGGTCCATAATTCATTTCCAACTCGTACGTCGTACATAACTCGACCACGTCGTGCTGAGATGGAACCTTTATTCCAAGGTTTATGTCCTCCTCGATAGTCGCGGACATAGATAGGGTCACCAACATCAAATTTTTTTTCATTCCGAAATGATGCGTCGGCATGTTTGAGTGTCGGTGGTAACATTGAGTTATGAATCGTTCTAAGTTTGCGTCCGTAGAGAATTTCTGCCGGCGATTTCTTGTTCTGTGTTGACTCATTCGCCGTTGTACGGTACACCATCAAGAATTTTTGGATGATGTCAAATGGTGTCCCCTCTCCCTCTGCTTTGAGTAAGGCTCTCTTCAAAGTGTCGACAAAACGTTCCGCTTGGCCGTTTGACTGAGGATGATACGGCGGTGTGAACATATGCTCGATAGCATTTTGATGACAGAACTGCTGAAACTGATGAGAGGTAAACTGCGAACCATTGTCTGTAACTATGGTTTCTGGGAGACCATGGTGGGAGAATATGTCAGTGAGAGCTTTGAGAGTCTGGGACGTTGTCGGCGAAACCATTGGTATAACTTCTGGCCACTTAGAAAAAGCGTCTACCACCACTAAATAGTATGCACCATTTGTAGGGCCAGCAAAGTCAATATGAATTCTGGACCAAGGATGGGATGCTGGAGGCCACGGTACGGGAGGTAGCTGGTGGGGTAGCTTTGCTGATTGTTGACATTTTGAACATCGTTGAACAAAGTCGATAATATGCTTATCCATATTAGGCCAGTATGCGTAGCTGCGAGCAATACTCTTCATCCGCTGAATACCAGGATGTCCCATGTGAAAC